CACTTCTCAGCCTAAGGCAGAAATAGTGTGAAGATGTCGAGTTCTTGAGAATGAAAGTATATAAAAATATGTGAGTCAGAGCAGCCTCCTTACTGAAGTCAGCTTGAGTGACCTGCATGGCACAGAAGGGCACAAGTTGCTGAAAAAAGAGCAAACTTTACTTGTAGAGTCTAGAATAGCTTGAATGCTGGTTGTATCCCTGTTACCCCAAATTAACAAAAGCCTCATCAATAACACAGAGGACTAGACAAGTTAATGGGTGTAGGGGAGGGGTGACTGAGAACTGTCATGTGTTTAGAACTCAGCTTCAGGACATCACTGAATTCAGAAATTACTGAGCTGTAAATAATTGAAGGCTGGAAATGCACTCTTGGTGAATATCACCATTATTCTCTCCTGTTGTTAAACTACCCTGAGCATCTGCTTTTCTGTATCACTGGAGCTGGGCCTCAATCCCACTGGGGACACTGCCACAGTGCTGGGATTTGGGATTTGGTTTGGGATGCTGCAGACAGCATCCAAACCTGAAACATGAGCTGCACACCCAAACCAGCCAAGGTGCAGAATGTCCAGGAACAGTCTGGGACTAGGCCCAGCCTAATGCTGGCTTACCACAGTTACACCTAAACTGCCTAGTGTTAAACTGCCCAGGAACACCAACAGCAACTGCACCCTTGGATTTCATACAGGTCCAAAAATATTGTTCAAATCATCATGTAGAGGCAATGCTTTGAGGAAGGGGCAGTGGGTGGAAGGGAATTTCTGCTTCCTTACCTAGATAATTTTACTAGTATATGCTTTGAATTTTGCCAGCTTTCAATTTTATTGGGAGGAGTTTTGCAAGAGAAAAAAGCAGTTCTGACTGAAAGTTGTATGGTTTGTGCCAGTCTGCAGAAAATACTTGCAGGTTTAAGACACTGTCAAATTCCGGATTTGAATAAAGCATTTGAATAAGGCTGTTTGTTCCTTTCATGCAATATTCTTACTGTAAAAACTGTAAGTAAATGAATGTACTGAGAGCTCCCCCTCTTCTCTTTTGCAGAATGGACAATATACAGCCTCACAGCACTGCTCATCCTAAGTGTTACAGCCATAATAGCAAAGATACTTCTGCATGTTACCATGAGGTGAGTGTGGAGCAAAACCAAGCACAGAGAACCAAGATCTCAGCTCTGAACCAAACCTGGGGCTCCTCTCTGCCTTGCAATTGTCAGACTGGCCACATTCCAAACCAAGTTAGCTATTACATATTTGTATTCTCATAGAAGATCCTAAATAAGCACATTTTTAAACTTCCCAGTCTGTTAGGATAGCATTTGCTATTAGACTATCTCTTCTGCTCTTGATTTGACAAGATTTGCACTTTAGGGCAAAGGAGGAAAATGTTATCAGACATCCAGGTTTGGTGAGAAGAGGACAAATTTTGATAATACTTTGCAGGGAAACAATTAAAACATCTACACTCCTACCAAGTAAATTTTGTGTCCTCTAGATGGACACTCACTCAATGAAATGAGGGGTGAGTTATCAGCAAATCAAAGTGTTGAATATTGTATTCACATAGTACAAATATGCTTAAAAATATACAAGGAAATTAATTTGTATTAATAGCAACTACAATAACAACAACTACAGTCTGTAGAGCCCTCTTAGCTTAATGTCACTGCTGTCATTAGGGTGGCAAAAGGATACCTAACCTTTCATTTGATCAAGCCAAACCAAGAAACACTCCAAAAACCTGCATTTTGCACAGCAGGTAGCAAGAAGTGTCACAGATGCAGTGGAAGCTGTGAGCATTCCCAGTGCAGACATTAATAGCCAAGCACATTAACACAAGAGTGAATTCACTTTTGTTTCCTAGGTCCCACCAGATTCCAGCTGCAGCTGAAACAGAGGATTGCAGTGATGTCACTACTGCTGGAGAGATCTGGAGTATATTTTACCAACCATCCACATCAATATCTATCTTCAAGAAAAAGCTTCGAAATCAACAAGATGATTGCAACCCACTGGTGGGAAACTGAGCTTTTATTTTGCAAGGATTGATCTCCTTAAAATCCAGGTGACTTGAGATTAATCTTCCTTTTTTTTTCCTCCCAATCTCATACCTGTTTTCCAAAAAGTCCATTTCCAAAGGCCTTTGAGTGACTTTGCCTATCTGCTATTCTCTTGGATATAGCAGTGACAATGGATTTAATTGGAGCAATAATTTTGAAATACCTGGTGCTCCTCAAGTCTGTAGTGCTGTTAATTACTGCCTTTAAACCATTGCACTTAAAATAGATGTAAAAACTCGTAAAATTCAAAACGTCCTGTACCCCTGTCCAGGGTAACTGAAGGGGTATCTACAGCTTGAGGATTTCTTGTGTCCCCCTTGCCTGTAGCACTGTATTAAATCAGGCTAATTCAGTCCTTTTATTCTCAAGGCTGAAGACAGAGGTGGGTACTGATAACCTGTTCAGCACACAGAGCTTATTTGCCTTGATGTGAACACATCTCACTGGTACTACACAGTAGAATGGGAATCAAAGACTGGAAAATGATCAGCCTGGTTGCTCAGTGCTGTGCTCTTTCTGCATGTTCTGTTTTTACAAGCAGAGATGCAAACAAAAAATCAAATTCAGGATGCCTCTATAACAAGATTCAGCTACAAATATGCATTTTGATTGACTAGAGCTCACCAGGTCAAGGCCTGCAGGAGCATTGAAGCCTTTTAAATGACTCTGTCTGACCCATCATTCACTGATGTTTTTGATAGTTTTGTTCAAATTCACAGTGATCCTTTAAAAAACTATTGTACTCCAGCCTGAGAGCCAGCACTCATCCTGGGTATAAGCTTAGGGCTTCTTAAAGGATTGTCCAAAGACACTGAATTTTTATCAGTGAGGCTGACTTACCAATTTTTGCTCTGAAGTCACAGGTATTGATCTCAGCAGCCCAAACTATTTACAAAGTTGTAGGCTGCTGTCACCAACTCAGCAGGGCCAGGCTGTGCAGCTGAACGTGCACAAAACAGCTGCCTTGACACTCACCAGTGAGATGTGTCTCCTTGCCTGCAGCACTAAAACTGAACTGAATTTTTAAGGCAATTGCTTTACTTGTCAAAGAACTAAAACATCAGTGGGGTTCTGATCTGTGAACTATTTTCTTTGATTGCAAAGACAGCATTAACTATTTCTTCTCTTTGGTAGACTGACTGTCCATGCACAACAGTCAGATTTCTCATCCCACCACCACAAGTGGGAAACAAGTGATTCCAAGGGATCAGCAATGAGTCTTTCAGCCTCAGCCAGTTCAGACCAGCAAGATATTTAGGAAAAACTGTCAATGCAAGTGTCAGATAAATGGACAGGAAAGGTTTACAACGGGCAGGTCCTTAAACTCAGTTGGAGAAGGTTCACTGAGAACCATAAAACTACAATAATTCTGGTTAAGTTTGAATATATAACAATGATCTGCATATGCCAGATGTGCAGTTAGAGAACATCTATTAAGTGCATCTACAAAAGGTACTTAAGAAAACTGAGTTTAAATTCATTCTAGTAACTGCCCTTGCATTTTTTAACATGTAACTCCCTCCTTTTTGTGAGAACTACAGATTTCACTGAAAAAAACAGGGCATCAAAGAATTAAGCAGTGAAATCTTGTGCCTTACCACTGTAGATCTGGTCTTTTACCTGAACTGAATTCAATCCAGCTTGATTTATGTACCACAGATGAGTGCTAGAAACAGCTGAACAATATCACAGTGCATGCTTAAAAGAAACCAGACTTTACTAAGCCAGCAATTATGGAATTGTTTATATAAAAAATGGAATAGCATGGGAACATCTAGTACTTTCTTGCATGAGCTGCTGGAAAGAATACAGGAAAATATAATTACAGTATTAGCTAAAATGAAGACAGGACAAGTTGTAAAAAATATGCTGGTTCTCTCTTACGTGTCACCATGTTGGACCAAAAAGCATTGTCTGTTTCAGACCCAAGTTCTGAAATTTCCTTTTTTAAAAGTAAGGTTTTGCATTGTGCTGTGTGGAGAAAGAGTTCACCCCAGAGATTCAGAGCAAAACAAAGTAGGTTGGTTCCTAAGAATCCTGAATTTGGTGCACTAACAGGACACCAGGCAGAGAGAATCATAGTGTGCTGCCAGATCCTCAGGAGCTGTTACAAGCACAAAGTGCTTATCACAAAGTGATGAAGCTTTGCTTGCCTTATCAAATGCAAGTTAAACATTTTGTCAGAGAGACATTTATAAAGCAGTTACCTAATGGTGATAAACTGAAAAAACATCAGGAACACCTGGTGACTAATTTACACCTACCACAGAAAGGAAAAATACAGAATGTTACACTTCATTAGTGAAGATTTTAATTTCACTATAATATTAGAGAAAATATCATAACAAACAGCAACAAAGACTGATGCTACTAATGCAAAATCCAGAGAATTCAAGAAGTGAGATTTTTGCATTGCTCCCTTAGCTCCTCAAATATTTTTTAATAAAATTTTATTTCATGGGACTTTTATGGGGAGCATTAATCAAATTTATGTACAAAAGTCCCATAAAACCAGCACTTACAGCAGATTAACTGGTCATGGCAACAATAAACAGGACTAGTATTAGACAGTGCATGGGTAATACAGTGATGAAAGCATAGAAGAAAGTACGTTCCCCCCACACAGAATTTTTCAGATTGGCTGATTCCAGATCCTGCTAGTGCTAGCAAACAGAGCAATGGATGGAAATTCATGGACAGGGTCCCTTAAATAGCACTTATTACTTTCCAGGGCTGACACCATGAAGAGAGGTAGATCTGCAGTGTGGATTTTTTTCAGAATGTGGTAGGGTCACTCACAGTGCTGGTGCAGACACTTCAGGCTGTGGTGACTTATGGCCAAGAGATGTGGTACCCACAGCACAGCATGTTTTGATCTTTGCTGTAAGGGTTTGGGGGAGAAAGAAGCAAAAACTGTGACCATTCCCACAAAATATTTTTCAGATTGGCTGATTCCAGATCCTGCTAGTGCTAGCAAACAGAGCAATGGATGGAAATTCATGGACAGGGTCCCTTAAATAGCACTTATTACTTTCCAGGGCTGACACCATGAAGAGAGGTAGATCTGCAGTGTGGATTTTTTTCAGAATGTGGTAGGGTCACTCACACTGCTGGTGCAGACACTTCAGGCTGTGGTGATTTATGGCCAAGAGATGTGGTACCCACGAGCACAGCATGTTTTGATCTTTGCTGTAAGGGTTTGGGGGAGAAAGAAGCAAAAACTGTGACCATGCACAAGTGCTGTAATCCCACAAAAGAAATGGCCCTGCTGCACAGGCAGCCGAGAGCTGGCAGCTGGAGAGCAGGGACACCTCAGGATGGTGGTGTCTACACCATTTTCTCCAACAAATTGAAAATAATTGCAGAAGAGGAATTTGTTTGGAATTGTATCTGAACAGCCTTCTGAGCTCCTGCCTGGCAGCCCCCTCAAGAGGCTGGACAGGCTGCAATGGCTACAATGCCAAAAGCAACTCTTTTGGCAACCAAATCCTGATGAGGAGCTGCCTCCTCCTTCACATGCATTTCAGCTCCTGCTCTGGCCCACTGCTCACTCTTGTCTTGGTGTGACCAGCTGTGCAGTGGTGCAATAAACTGATCAGGTCAAAAACTGCCATGGCTTTTTCTTCCCTGAGTTATTCTTTACAGAGCTGAGCTCTCTGACCTTGCTCACTGGGTGGCTGCACGGGGAGCTGAGAGCTCCCTGAGAGCACACTAAGCAGGCAATAAGCCAGGGACGAGGCCAGATGTCTGCCCCAGGAGCTGAGCACTGCTGCTGGAGCTGCCACAGCCCTGTGTGAGCCTGCTGCCTTCGCTCTGCCCCCAGCTCCAGCAGCCTGCACTGTGCGTGCACCTCAGGTGGAAAGGGGCCAGCTGCACAAGTGCCTTCCCTCATTCAGAATCTACATTTAAAACTAGTTTAGTTTGTTGACTATGTGATTTTATATGTATTTTTATCTTAATATTGTTATGTTGTGGGAAAATAGAGACTTTGTTATGTAAAAATGTGTGATGTGTTATCATAGTAATATATATATTTGTATATGTATAGGAAATGCATTATTTAATACAGCATATTATGCTTCTATCTTGCTAACATTTTATAGGAAGAAAAGATGTTAGTTTACACTCTGGGAAAAATAAATTTTCTATACACTGTAACCATAGGGAAAAAAATCAAAGATACTTCTTTGGTATATACAATAGAAAGACATTGAGAATAGGGGAACGCAGCCTCAGTTTTGTGACAGAATAGATGCTGATAAAACAATTGCTGTAAGAAACACTTTCCTCCTTTGAATCTCATTTCTGGCCTGTAAATGTATGAGGCTTTTCATAAGATGCTGCAAATTCATGTGCATATACTCTCTGGATGATTTTTACCATCAAACATGTAATCTGCTTTTTCAATCAAGCATTAACATAATCTTCTTTAGGACTTGTTTCTGCCAGATTTTCTACAGCCAGGACAATGCTGAGGAAGTTTATCACATTGCTCATACAGACAATCCAGTGGGATTGCAGAATTCAAGTCTGTGTATTCCAACCCCCCCAGCAATAATATAAATAGGAGATTTGTATGGATAGTCCTGGAAACTGCACTGGATCTGCAGCCTGGATGGCTACAGGTCAAACACATCAGCAGACACATGGCTGCCACTGAATGAGCATAAGCAGCTATTCCACTTTCATCTTCTGCTTAATAAGCCTTCTCAGGCAGTGGGAAGGAACAGAGTTTTCTAGTGCAGCACTTTGCCTAAAGGAAGGGTGAACTACAAAAACAACTCCTGACAAAAACTTGTCCGACTGGTTCTTACTGCCTTGCAGCAGTATTTCACAATCTTCCAATGAAATACAGTTCACTGATAGTTTCACCTGAATATTGGACATTTATGAACAGTTCTGCTACCTTGAGAGTGAAACATACAATTGCCTTCAGACCATATCAATTTTTTTTAACAACACATCCCCACCAGACACATTTCACGCCACTCAGACTTTCCCAGATTTACTGAGCACCTGTGCTTTGGGATGAGATTTGGCATTGTGAACTTCAGGAAAGCTATCACAGGAACCACATAAGGCTGTCAAGAAAGCAGAATAAATCAAACTTGAGATGACTCGCTGCTGAAGTATGCACTGTGTTTATAACTGTTCACCCTGCATTCAGCAAATGGTTGTAAATAATAATTATGAAAAAATAAATACAGTGTATTTGTGCAGCAGGAGTTCAGTTAGGATGACTAAAGTGTATACAAGCATGAAATAAAGGAGGCAGAAGTTGCTGCAGCTCACCAGCAGATTACAAGAGCACTGCCTGCTGTAAATGTTAGAAGAGAGTAATTAGAGCTGAGAATGATTACTTTACATATAAAGTATGATACTGCTCTGAGACAATTTCTGAGGTACCAGCAAATTGAAAGTTTTCAGTTTATGTGTTTTCAAACTTTTAAAAACTGTATAAATTTGTTCAGGGTTTGCTTTGTAATTGCAGCACTGTAATGCTGTTTCCACTTTGTTGCAAAATTCATCTTTTTGCTAATTAATTCCTCCTGGCCAAAATAATGCTACATTTTAAGAAACCTTCAGCAACCTTTTATGTAAACACCACAAAACCAATGACAAATACCAAAACTGTCTCCAGCTTTTCATGAAGACTCATTTTTCTTTTAGAAACAGTTGTCATAGGGGAGGTTGCTCTCCTTTCCTGCCATTCTGGTTATGGGACTCTGGCACTTTGGTTCTTTCTGGGAATTGTTCCCTTCTTTTTTCTTGCTTCTTTCCTAAGCAGCAGTTTCATTCCCCACGAGGGAAATGTGTTCTTTATTCTGAAAGAGACACTTTTCTATGCAGCATTTAAGTCACAGGAGCACAGTGCTTTCACTGCAAGATAAAATATCTGGTTTCAGGTATGCCATTGTCTCCCTGGCCAGAGAATTAGGCCAGGCTGGCTCCACAGGGTATGAACATGGCCATCCTTTTAAGGGCATTTTTCTCTTCACACTACCCAAGTAACAACAAACGTCACCCAACAGCTGTCACAGGATTTGACAGATGCACACGATATTGCAGATAGTGTTACAGACACACCAAGTGTTACAATAATGTACAATCCACTATGAATAATCTGCTCCTGCTTGTCTTTTTCTACTGTATCAAGGTTTTGTGAGGGTTTGTGGTGCCCCACAGGACTTTGATTTTGTCACAAATTTGTTCCTTAAGCATCAAATCTGGAAAGTAAAAAGAACCTCCCTGCCTTGACAAGTATCCAAATGTAAATTATTTTCTGTGCAAAATGAACATTTAGTCATTTTTTAAAAGCCACAACAAAGACTAGACAGAGTGTCACACAGAGCCAAGCACCACACACAAGCTCAGCCAGCAGCCCACTGCTGTGTTTCATGCAGACAGAACACAGGCTCCCTGATTGTTCAGTGGGACACTGTCACAGCACATGTCACAGCTGGGACAGCCACAAGACAGTGTCACCACGCAATTTCAGAAGGCTTTAAGCATTTGCCCACACAGAGTAACACCATACCTGATCAGAAGGCTTCACGCATCTGCCCATACACAGTAAGTAACACCAGCTCACTTCAGAAGGCTGCAAATTTCTGTCCTTCTTGTTCTTTAGCCCAACCTTTTATCCCCCTCACGTTCATGCACTGCACCTGTGTGCCCTCTGCTCCCTTTGGTGGTTGCTCAGTGCCCCTGGGCACTCCATGGCTCATTGCTGTCACTGCTGCTCACAGCTGTGCCACTGGGGATGGGGCTCAGCCACAGCCCCACTCCCAATCACCACAAACTGTGTGCTACAGGACACTGAGGGTGCTGGCATGTCCTGTTCTTAAAAGCACAATCACCTGGCAGCTTTCTTCAGAACAGGGAACAAGAAAACAGAACACCAGCAGCAACAGCAATCGGGGGTGGAGGGAGGGAAGAGAAGGGAGATTCAGATGTGATCTGTCAACATTTGAGTTACCAGCCACCCACACACAGGGGCTTTATGCTATTTGTAAAGAAAAGTGTTTTGTGAACTAATTTGCATATAAAAGGCATATCTGTAATCACTGGCAATTGCCAAGACTCTGCTCACTGAGCAAAAAAAGGGGCACATACTTTAATTGGGAAGCACCTGCTCCTCTTCCATGGTTGTGCCTGTCCCCACACAGACCAGGCTTTTCCATCCTACCTGTCAGGATGGGAACTGTCCTCATGCCCTACAAAATAATCCCAAATGGAGTTATCACACACGAAACAAGGAGGGTTGGAGAGAAGTAAGGCTCATTTCTTGCTGAATCCTGAGGTGATTGAATTACAGTGCACTTGAACATGGATGAGAAATGGGGAAAGTCCAGGGGATTACCGGATGAAAATCTGTGTGAGCAGGAAGAAGCTGGAGAATCCTGGAAAAGGCTCTGTGAGTGTATCACTGGATGGGAAATGAATACCACATGAGGGTGAACTGTTTACACAGTAACACACATAAATACACAGGTACATACACACACAGAGCCACACAGCCCCAGGCTCCCCTCTTCTGGAGTCTGCATAAACATCTCTGATGAAATTGTGCTCTCTGCTGACAAAAGGAGCAACAAAATACTGATTTTTCACTAAAGCAGGACCAGTGATTCCATGATCCAGGGCAAGGACCTGCATCTAGACCATTCAAGCTATGATTCACCCAGCTGTGTCCACCTGTATCATGCTCTCTCAAAACAATTTTCTTTCAGGGCAATAAATTACTTTTACCTGAAATTACAACCAAGTTCAGCTCCCCTGCCATGAGGAACAGGCAGGTTCCAAACATAAATGAGGATTTCTTTTAGCAGATGTGGTACTTCCATGTGTCTGGGGGGCTCAGGGGCTTGTGTGACACCTACCCCCCACTGCCCCCCAGTAACTGGAGTGCTGTGTAAAGGCGTTTCCATATCCACCTATCTGTTGTTTCAAAAAAAAAAAAAAAGGAAAAAATGTTGTTTATTAGAGTTCATCTCAGTATATCGAGGACTATACTTTGAGGAGAACAGTTATCTATGTCCTTTCCCCCAAAACAAGAAGGACAACTCCCACATGTATATGCAATAAAACTGTATTTTTTGTGTGGTTTTGCCTTTTTTTTTTTCTTTTAATACAGACATTTGTACACTTTCTTACAAAACTGCAAGTAACTACACTTCTCTTAAATCATTTTTGGTCGGCAAGTACTGTAAAATCTTTGTGTGCAATTATCATGTATTTACAGGGCCTCGTGTTAGTGATTTTCAGTGATTATTACAATAATGTCACACACTCTCAACATAAGACATGGCTTAAGATAAATATATTAGTAAATAAATATTCTGAGAACATATTTCCATACATGAAATGTGCTGCTATACATATACAGAATATATACAAGATGCTTTCTAGCTTTTAAAACATTTTTAAAAATGGTAATGAAGGAGAAAGAGCCCTTTGACCATATTACAAATCTTTACAGCAAATTTTATACAAAACAATTTTAAGTGCTATAAGACAATTTTAATTAAAAACATTTTAAATAGTGCCTCATGAGCCAAACACAACGACAACTGTTCATGTAAGTAGTAGAAAGGCATTTTGTTATAAAAACCATCTATCATGGCCAGCTAGCCTGTAAGTCTGCACTGGACATAGAGTTTTATGTTAAATGTCAGACCCAGCACAGAAGGCAGGTGTAGGGTGTCTGTGCTATGGCCTGCAGAGACTTGCACCAGCAGAGATTTCCACAATGTGTGGGACCAGTACATCTGGGATCACCAGGAGCCAGAATATTCAAACCTTTTTAAGAACCACTTTTACCAGAATATGCTGTTTTAGTTACAGAGTACAATGTATCTTAGGTGGCCTTTACAGTGCCTCACAAAACACCAAGCAGAATAACCAAGCTAGTATGCCATAGCTTCTACAATGCATTTCTTTTCTAGTGGAGGAAGGAGAGGGTAAGACTTTAAAATTTCAAAAAAAATCCAAAAATCACAAACCTTTAGAGTTTGTTCTCCCAATACATACCACTTACTTCAGTCATTCAGAGAATGAATAAGTTTTTAATAAGCTTTATACACAGAAAATGTGTTTATTGACATTTTTCTTTTAATCTTATACCCAGATATTACCTTGTATTAATTCTCTGAACAGCTGAATTTGGGTGCTTGTTGACTGAAAAGATGTAATGTGAATTCCTTTAGGTGGAACTTTTTTCCTAACTTACTGGGTATGAAAGCAAAAGAAAATAGACAAATGTATTTGTTATTTCTTAGATATCTGTTTCCTTCTTTTAAAATAGTTCATTTGGGACTACAGAGAATACAAGTTAGCTTTGCTGGGTCTCACAACCAGCCCAGTGCTGTCAAGGACATTGCTTTGGCAGAATATGAAGTGTACATCTCTATTTCATGTCTTTGAAGTATCTCCAAAGTGTACTGAACTTAGGACAAATCTTTTCAGAAGACTGGCACTGTGGGCATTAAATACTTAGTTTCCCTTTAGAAGAATTCCTGCTGTGAATACACCACAGGATGACACTGTGTCCTCAGGCACATGCAGCATGACAGGCAATTTAACCCATGCTATGGTAGCCTCTTACTCAGAAGCTGCTGTTTCCACAGGAAACAATTGCTATCAGAAGTGACGACATAAATTATCTCATGATAACAAACATCCCCACTAGGACAAGAACAAGAACAAAAGTATGTGCCCAGGCTAATGGGGTACAGAGAGCACTCTGTACACAAGACAAAAATGAAGCACAACCGGCTGGGCCCAAGAAACCTTTAAAACAGATCAATCTATGGAAGCTACATCAACCACAGCAAAGAAGAAAACAATGATCAAACCAAGTCCCTCACTTTCCCACACACACAAAAGGTGACAAGCACTGCTTCCCTTAGGCATGCTTGCAGCCTGTAAGGAAACAAGAAACCCTGTTTCCAAAATGAGCCAGCAAAGCTGCGAGCACACTGCAAGCTCTGCTTTCCTGCACATGCCAGCATTCCTCACAGCCGTAGCAGGGGCTACAGGTGCCTGAAAAACTTCCTATGGAAGAAAAAGTTCATTACCTACAAAGGTAATACCCTTTCTAAGCACTTTGTTCGAGCATCTGCTTGAGGGAGAGGTCCCCAGCATTCTTCACTGGTCAGAAGATACAATGAGGTCCACGGTTTAAATACAGGAAGTGAGGATGAGAACATTCTGAGCTATCAGTTTCCTTACCCCCACTCTGTTGAAACTAATCCTAATGGCAGGACACCTTCCTAGCCAAACCATCAGAGCAGCATGAAAGGGGGGAGAAGGGAAGAGGAGAAAGGAGACAGTCCAATGCTTCACCTCCCTCAAAATCACTCAAATAACTTGCTGGCTGCTAGGATTTGCTACTGGGATTAGTCAGTATCTGAGCATCCATTCAGCAGCTGTATCCCTCTGGATTACTATATTTCAAGGTGCTATCTGGTTTCTAAGGCAGGTGTAGCCCTGAGCTTATCAAAGGCTGGACTCCTTCAAGTAGGAGATAACAGCATCTACACATAGCCTGGCTTATTTAACACACTGTGTTACCTCTCAGCAAGAGGTCACTTCTAAAAAGAAAATATAAATAACACTTTGTCATTAATATAGAAATGGCACTAGAGCTCAGAAATGCTCCACACCATGTCCCACATGGGCTTTGCACACAAATCAAGGCCTGAAGGCTTCAGGCAGGAGGGACAAAGGAGACAATCAAACTGATGTGAACACAGAGGAAGTAGGGGAGGGACTTCTCCACATTACCACTTTTGTGTGTTTGTCAAAGCTTAAAAAAAATTAAGTCCATGAGAATTTGGAGTCTCTGATAAGCTCCGCTTCTCCATCTGGGATCATCTGGACAGGTCTAGTCACTGATTTGGCTTCTCTCCAAGGGATGAGATCCAGCACCTGAAGGATAAAGAAAACTAAGGAACATTGCATCTAGAATATTGCATACAGTTTTGGGCCCCCTGAACAAGACACTCACTGACTGGAGTTTCACAGAGAGCCAAGATGCTCAGAGGGCTGGAGCACTTGGTGTGGAGAGGCTGAGGGATCTGGGCTGTTCAGCCTGCAGCAAAGGCATCCCCAGCAGCTCTGCAGTACCTACATGGAGGCTGCCCCAGTGATGAAACCACAATCTTCACAGACCTGCATTCTGAACAATTCTGACGTGAGGAAGTTAAGCTGAAGTGTGAGATGTTCAGACTGGATATAAGGAAAATCTTTTGGCCATCATGGCAGTCAAGCACAGCCACAGCAGTCCAGAAAGGGACTGCACTCTGTGTCCCTGAAGGTTTATCCAGCCTGACTGGATACATTTGGTTTGACAAACTTGGTCTGGACTCAGAGCAGACTCTGCTTTGAGCAGGGGGTTGGACTAGATTATGGCCTGAGGTCCCTTCCAAACAAGGGTACCTTGTGATACTATGAACATCCTTTAAAATAACTCTGGCAAGGCAGGTAAGAAATATCCCCCCTCTTTCTGTGAGTGGCTATTTTTTCCCCTTGTCTATGTCCACAGCAGAGACTTTCCCACATATTCTTCTACAGCAATTCCAAGATTTTCACCTTTTTAAAAAAAAACCTTCAGCTTGTCTGTCATCTCTCACAGTGGCACTGCCTGCTTAGGCAACTCACCACAGCTGCCATGACTAGCACAGTGTCCCTTGCTGTGGGAACTCTAATGGGGGCCCCTCCCCAAAAAGGATGAGCATGAAAGCTTTTATAGGGTTAATTAGTAAGTTATCTTCTCCTCCTCTGGCTATGATGAAATGAGCACAGGTAACCAGGGAATAATACTTTGGGGCAAATGGTTAGTCAATAACCTGCTCTTATTTGAAGGATGGAGTGACCTTTATGGCTGCAGGTAGCTGGCAGCATTTCATACACTAACACAGAAACATAGCAAGTAATCAAAAAAAGCACGTATGTTACCTGTGGCCTTTGTGGTCATCATAAGCTTCTGGGAGTTCAGAGTGGGACTGGGAAAGGGCATTCCAGTTTCCTCCTCCTGAGAGTAGTTCTGCCGCAGGAATGATGTTGCCTCATAGCACACCTCCCTCTCGACCTGTACCTCTCCAATACCTTGACAGTGCAGGTAAGTGTCTAGCTCAGGTGTTCCATCCCAGGAGCTACAGCCTCCTATGTGGGTCCCTTGGTGCTCTGGTGGTAGTATCAGCTCACAGTCTCTGTCCTCAGGAATGATGGGAATGCGTTGACCCAGATCACATACACCCTTACAGCAGTTTGGCAAGGTGTCATCAGGAAGTGTGTACTGCACATTCACTGCATAGTCTTCTGTATAGCAGCCACCACCTCCACTGCCACTGTTGCTACTACAGGCTACCTGCTTCTCTTCATAGAAGCAGCAGGGCAACCCCTCATATTTTACCCCATCTGTCCTATGTAAGTGGTCTGAGTTAATACTGTACAAGCCTGGGGTGTTCCCTGACTGTGGTTCAATTCCTTGGCCACATGTCCCCCACAGTGGAGAGCTAAGGAAGAGTGCACTACAGTCAGCTGTCCCACTGCTAGGCTCCAGGGCAGAGTGCTGGAATTCAAAGCAGCACGCGCATGCCTGCTCCGAAATCGACCCTGCTATCTCTGGATTCTTCCAGTTCCTTTTAACATCCAAGGCAGCACCAGGAGTGGCCTCAGGTCCTCCCTCTGAGGTAGTGCCATTTGGATCCCTGTGCTCTAGTGAGGAATTACTGCTATAGTTCATATCCATGCTGCAATTAGACAGTTGGTCCCCTGAGGAAGAAGCTGGCACAGGCCGGCAGTCAGCACCCACCACAGCATGACTGTGAGCCGGAAGCTCGTCCTGGTGGGGGCTCTCCAAGAGCACAATCGCACCCCTGTTTGCACCACCGACCTCACCCACGCGGCAAGGGCTCCTGCTGCGGTAAACGTAGGGGTCATAGTCACTGCTCAGAGAGCTGCGGAAGGTGGAGCAGCTCCCGTAAACCCCCTGGTTACTGACCTCAGTGCAGTCAACCATGGAATCGCTGGAGGAGCAGTGGCACTGACCAGAACTGCTACTGCTGCTGTCACTCCCAGGGCAGTCAGCCAAATACCCACTGCACACTGAGCGATGACCGTGGTAGCAGCTAAAGCTGGAGGTACTGCCACTCTCCAAGCGGGACGAGGGCATTACATGTACCACAGGAGGGAAAAGCATGCTGCTACCAGGCTGAAAGGCACGGGAAGGACCCTTTGAGGAAATGCCAGCTGGAAGCTGTCCATCTTGCTCAGGGTAACTAAGGCCTTGGAAGTAGTAGTGCTGATACATGGTCTCGTATCGGGAGAAGCACGCTGCTTTGGAAAAGTTGCGTCCACCAAACTTGGGTCTTCGGAAGTTGTGAGCTGGAGAGTAAGCCCTGTGCTCCAGGCTGCAGTGATGTGTGTTTAAAGCATGGTCCAAATGAATAGGCTGGTAACTGCGAATATAGGCAGGGGAAGGGGCTGGGTAGAGGCTCTGTTCACCGTGTCGCTCCACTGTCAGTAAGGTGATGGGGTTTCCGTGGGGGTCCATGCTGGTCCGGGTGGGATACGCTGTGATCTGGCTTGCTCTGTGCACCCGGCCCGGGTAATGGACAGGCAGAATCACCCTCTGCTGCCGGCTGCGTGCTGGGTTGATGGATTCCAGACAGATTGGAGCTGCATTCCCCTTCTTCTGTTCTGAAGGAGAGAAATAAGAATGGAGAAGTAGAACTAGCAGGGAATAAAAGGGAATGTACTTTATACGGGAAAGGATCTTTTGTTTTCCATGTCATTACATTATGCACCAATTTTTTACACGGAAGGAAATAAAAGAAAAAAAAAAGTCAAAAGCATATCTGGAAAACTTTGAAACACCCAAATGTATTTGCTTAAAAAGCAAAAGAAGTGAATTTATTTCACATACTGTTCCCATATACACAAAATATTTTGCTTACATCTTGCAGAGGCTGAGAGAGGCTGGAAGTCATTGCTCAAATTTTCACTTTACGCATTTTTACATAAATGTGCAACGCCAGAAAACTTTCTTAAGACACAGGAAATGAAAGCAGGAAGAGGGCAAGTAAGGGAAACCACGTTCCAAGTTACAACACCATGGAAAAATAAAAGAACATACATTGTTTTCTTTGTAATTCCCAAGGGAAAACATATCCCTTTTCTCCATGTGTCCTTGCACTCAGGGCTGCACAACACTGCCCTCAGCTGGGCATCATCCCCACCCCAAGGCTGTGCCAGGGGCACTCAGCTGTTCTCTGAGAGTTTGGGGATAACTCTATTTCCAGGGCTATGCTACAATAAGGACTGAGAGCTCCACAGGGACTCACAAACAGCCACACTTTTTATTTCATCTTTTAAGCTGTCTGAAATAAACAAGACACCAGAGCACCCACACTGCAGCACTTACCTATGATGTTATGGCGGCAGTGAGGGCAGGTGTGATGCTGCAGCAGCCAAGGATCCACACATTTCTTGTGGAATCGGTGAGTGCAAGGAATGACACGCAGTTCCTACAGGAGCAGATGAAGCACCATGAAAATGTACTTCTTCCTAACAAGTGAATTTTTCACAGCTTGCTCATAGTTTTTTCAACCTGGCTATTATAAATGGAGCAATTCCTAGTCTGGAAGTGCTAAGAGGGAAAAAAATGGCATCAGGACAGCCAGGAGCACAACAGGCAGTGCTCAGCTGTCTCTAAAAGAACAGTCTGCAGGTGCCTTAGAACTCCATGCAGATATAGGACATTTCTTTAGGACACTTTTTGTATGACCCAACACCTTTAAAAAGGCCATCATAAAAGTCTTCCTTAATATATTCAATGAACTTAAAAAACAGAAATCAAGAGTAATGATGTACCCTTCCTACAATTATTTGCAATGGAAAACACTCAGGTAAAGCAAAACCAACACAGTGTATATGATACTTTTTCCCTTGCCCAGGACTCTTATCCTTCAGCTACGATGTGTTTACAGGATTTCCTGAGCCTGATGGATATCTCTTTCAACAAATCTTTCCTCTAAGTGCTCACGTCTCCCCATGAGCTTAGATTTTCAATTTCTAACGTGCTTTGGCAAGGAGTTCCATAGGGCTGCTACCTCCTGGTAGAGAAACACCACACAACTTTGTATTCCCCTGTCCCCAAGTAACCCAGGGTCTAAAGAGTCCTTGTCCACTCAATAATTCAAGGTTTTTTACAGAAACCATTCAAACTATTTGATCATTTTGTGACTACCCTTTCCTGAAGCACCTTCCTTTCCATTCCATATCTTTTGTGAGGTGAGGTCAGAAGTACACAGTACTCAAAGTGAGAACACAACTAAACTTACACTGTGGTATAATGTTTTCTGTTCAGTTCTCTAGACTTTCCCATCTCATTTCTAGAATCTGATTTGCCTTTCTAACTGCCACAAAGCAGTTAAATTGACACCAATTTTCTTTCACAAAGCTATCTAAAGCATCAAGATCTTGTTCCTGAATAGCAATGCTCAGCTCCCAACCCTTCCCTGATGCATGTGAAGTTCTTCCCTATGTCTATCACTTCAAGCTGAAGTTCATGCCTGAATTTCCTCTGCACTAAGTTTGTACAGCCCTTTTGAAGTCCTTGTCTACCTACATCCTTGCTACTCTGAATAATTTCCCATCAACTAATTTCATTAAACTTTCTATTTGCACCTTGCAGCACTCAAATATGCAGCTGGTATTTTCTATTGCCTTAAAAATTAGGACTCTTTTATGAAACATTTCAAAATAAAATGTCCTCACATAATCTTTCTAGTGGAAGTTGACAGCTGTGAATATTGACTGCCTCTATTTTATTTATTTTAAGGAGCTCATTTTCTATTTCACCCTTTTGTTGCTTCCTCTGCGTTGAACTGTCATGGACACCAAGCCCTGACATCAATACAGCAATTGTAACTGAGGAGTCAAAAAACTGTTCCTGAACATTTTGACCTCTCTTCCTTCTCCTCCTCTGGTTTCCCAGCAGTGCTGTGTACTTGGCATTTTTAAGACAGGGTGCCATCAAATCTTGAAACAGCAAAACCCCAAGGATATCCCTTACCTCCAAGGGAGCTTGCACACATTATCACCTTAGTGCATGACTTGTCAAACATACCCAGAGAACCAACTGCTGAGGCAACCCTGCCATCTTTGTGACTTGTTCTTCAGAAATGCAAGAACTGAAGGTAGCAACTTGCAAATGGGATCCCTCACCTCTCACTCTGCAGCATGGGTAATTTAGAGCTGCAGCAAGCAGCTGAGGACAAGTTGGCTGCTCAGTGTGATCAAACTGAGCAGCGGCACCACCTCAGCACAGGATGTCCCCAACAGCCAGCCACACACCACAGTGCTAAAACCACCTACATTCCCAGCCCACGGTGAAGAAACCTTTCATCCTTTACCTCCCCATCAATGTACTTCTCCAAGCAGATGGCACAGTCAGAGGTGGAGCTGCTACTGAGTGTATCCAGTGCTCCACAGTTACTTTCTCGGTGTCCCTTACTTTTGGACTTAAACTTCCTGGTCTCCATTTTCTCCAGTGCTTGCACTGCAAGCCTGTTCATGGAATTCTACATGAGAAGAAACAAAAGAAAAAAAAAAAAGAAAAGAAAAAAGAAAAAAAAAAGCCAATGCTGCTGTGTAAGGGACTAGAGTGTAATAGCAAAGAAACATCACTATAACATATCTTACAGATCATGTCAGGCCCAAGTGATGTATAATTTCTTAAATTAAACAGAGAGAAGGCTAATTAGAATTCAGATCAGAAGCCTCATGGAAAAGAATGTATGCCACATGCAGAAGTGAGAATGATAAACTACTCTGAACTAGAACTGGATGACAAATGGGATACACTGCAACTTCTCAACTGATAGGCAGCAACTATTCAAGCCAACATATAAAACTTGGCCAGGAGCTTTTTTTATATGTCAGTATTGATTGTAATGCCCCAATATGCTGTTATCACCATATTAACTGGAGTAATATTGAGAAAGGGATTAAAATGAAATGTTATAAATTAGCTGTATAATTTCCTCCAGGACAAACTCTAAGTATGTCACTTGGAATTTCTCCTAACCAAACTTTTTACCTTGAAAACCCCTCCCATTTCAATAGATGTTATCCTATTGAAAAGATTTGTTACTTATTTTCAATCCTCTCCACAATACAGCAGCAAGAGTCTGGACTCATTTAGAAGTATACCAGTGCTACTGATAACCGGTGAGCAACCAGAAATGTTCTTTCTTCCCAGTGCCTAAGTGGACTGTGCCTGTACTGTTTTCATTCCTGGATTTAAGAAACATCATGGGTCAATGTAAATCTCCTTTAAAGATATTTCCAAGTTCTTCCAAAGGCCCACACGCATGGATAAAACCACACAGCCACCAAGATGGCTACTGTAAGTCAGTGGCCTGCATTTCCAAAAGTTGCAAGCACATTTTAGGACAAAGTAAGAGAAGCTAACCTTCAGCATTCAGTGAATTCCCATTACTGCTCTTACCTGACTACGTCGCTGTTTCAGTTTGATCTTGACAAGAAGAATGAGGCAAACAAGAGACACAACCACAAAGAAGGCCAGGAAAATTCCCATATCAAAGTACTCCGTGGGTTGCTTAAAAATTAAAACAAAGGTATTATTATTCCTTCCTTTAGATCATACTCAAAGCTGTTGTTTCTTTCTCTTTTAATTTCTCAGGGGCCATTGCTGAATGTACACAGTCAGAATGGCAGAAGTCAGGGCACACATTGTTCTGTTCATTACCTGGGAATCTATGAGACACAACCTGTATTTCGTGTGCCACTGCAAGTGAACAGAAGACACAGATTGCCAAGCATGGGATGTCAGGTTTACAGTCTCTGAACTGCAAAATCCAGTTTTTTTAACTGAGTGAATCGCACCAGAACAAATTTTATAGCTTATTGGGTTGCTTATGCATGGAATTGACTGAAAAATCAACACTTGAAATTTCAAAAATGGCCCATTTCTCAAATACATTTCTTAACAGAAGGATTCCATTAAAACGAAAACACCAAAGTGGAAACTGGGACATTGATGACCTTTAGTATTGTTCTTCTGTAAACTATACACAGAGAGTATTAGGGGAAAAAAAGTCTAGAAAGCCTGTTTTATATTACAACTACAAATATCAGATAATCTCATAATTAATCTATGTTTAAAATACTACACAGAATTATTAGTTAACACAGGGCAAACTGCCTTACAAAACTGAACCATCAGGAGTGTGCAATAAATAAGAAAAAGGAAAGCTTCTACTGTGTGAATTTTTTAGCCATTTCTATACTCAAAAGTATCCTTCTGAAAGACAGCAGATGCCACATTGTGGATTCTATACTTACACCAGGTCCAGCTGCTTGTCCACAGTTTATTTAGGTCAACAGAATTTCACAAGTATTAATGCACACAAGGAGCACCAGAACATCTTCACCGCCAGCGCTGTGAGCAAGCCCTGCCCGCAGTAACAGCACTGAGATACCCAGAGAAAGGATCTGAGAGTCTCACCCGTGGGGGGCGATGCTGAATCCTGGCCCGGGCCACTTTCTGCTTGTTAACTATGTTCATGAGCTTGACAGCATCAGCACCTTTCACATACACCACTGGTCTCTTCAGAGGGTCCTCTGAGCCCTGGTTCAGCTAGAACAAAAAAAAAGTAGTCTGCTCAGAAGGTTTTCCTGTTTCAGGAAAACCACCTTCCTTCTGGACAATGCAGAGAATGGTTAAGGAGTATGAACATGGAATTGATTTCAAGCACCTATTGTTCTCTTGTAGCACAGACTTTTAGTTAAATATTCCACAGAATTAAATCTCAATTAAACTTTTGACTCATGCTGCCTTTTTTTTTTTTATGGACCAAAACTGAGATTAAGGATAAGCAAATGCTATTTCTGAACAGCTGCTTTAACTTAGCTGCATCATGGATCCGTGCAGATATTAATACTGTAATGTTAAACCTCACAATAAGGAAGAATAAAAATCTGCACATTCCAAAAAAATTGTCCCTGCTACATTTTATCAATCTTTCAATTTCAACATTTTCCCATAGAAATTTCTTCAGCTCCCTGAACAATCTCACATCAGAATCGTGTCTTTCAGGCTCTTTGTACCTAGCCAAATTAAGTTATTAATTAAGTAATTTCTGATGTTTAACTCTACAAACTCATTCAAAATTGCTTGAATTCTCGCAATGATGAGACCTACTGATTGCAGGATGGGGGGCCCCAAAGACTAAAGTATTGAATAGACCACAAAATTCACCCTGAAAGTTCCTTCCAGATCCAGCTATGTTTTGTCCAAAAGGTCAAATCACAGAATCAGAAAATAATGTGAGTGGGAAGGCATGTAATGAGCCAACCTCATGGTCAAGGCAGGGTCAACTATGACATCAAATCAGGCTGCTCACAGCTTTATCCAGTGTAATGCTGAAAACCTGCAAGTGAGGAAAATGTGCAACTTCTCTGGCCAATAAATGCAGAACAACAATCTGCTAAATTATATACCAGAAAGAGTTATAACTATACAAGAGAACTGCTCTGTTAAAAAACAGCACCAACACAATAAATTCATATAGCTTATTCTGACTGATGAGCAAAATATGAATGCAGAGGCTGGTTGACAGAAAACAAGCAATGCACTGACAAGCAGATGGAAATGGTACAGGGGAAAGGAATGAGATGAGAGGAATGTGAGCAAACAGAACAAGAGCATCTTGTGGCCAAGTAACGTATCTGCATTGTTGACAGCTACCTGTTAGTTCTGACTAAACCATGCAGAAATTACCAGCTGACTGGTCCATCATCCTGATTAAAGGAGTCTACTTTAACTGACCAGATGATAAGAGATTTCACTGAGGCTTTTAAAAAGTGATTATTCCTAGTATTTGGTGGATTTTCTGAGAACACTGATCAAATTACTTTTAAGGCAAGTGTCTTGTGATGAGCTAAAACCTAGCTGCAGCATCCAGGAACCCTACATGTCTACAAGCCTTGCTGGCCTAGGGCCAAATCCACTCACTATCCTTCCATTCCCAGACACATACTCTCTCTCATAATTTCTTGCTCAAGAGAGAATTCTCCCAGTTCCTCATTTTTGCACATTGTCAGACTCTTGCTAACCATGATGCTCTGGGTGCTGTTACTCCTCTTCAAATATGCAAAAGTAAAACTAAGAAACAAATCAAAAAGCATTCCTAAAAATAGAAGTTTCATTCTTAATTTACAGCAGAAGATACTCAGATCAGTGGGAATAAAACCCATTTAGGCAAAGTCCTTTCATTTGGCATCTACCAAATTATCTGAGGACAATTCTGCTGGTCAGGCCTGCTTCCAATTTCTGTTCATTGACTGGCAGGAAGCACTGCCTTTCATAATAGTCCACTCCTCCTTTTCAAAGAAATCTCCCTTATTTGTTCTAGTGCTTGGCAATGAGCATACATGAGAAAACTTCCTAAACAGCTCCCCTCAGAGTCTTAGGATATTTCCATTTGAACCAAAGATACTCCAGATTACCTCATGTCAGTTTTCCCTCCACTGTTATCTGTCATTGTCTTCCACCACAATTCCATTATGAGTGCCAAAATGGTACTTATTTTAAAGACAAATTACTCAGCACCCCAATGTCAAAGGTTCTGAAGACTTTAGGTGAGACTCAAAATCCATTAAAAACAAGCATCCAGAGCAGCATGAGAACAGAGCCAATCCAGTAACTGTAACTTTTAGAGTATAAAGCAACATCCAGTGATTCCTCTCCTGTTTGCCAGTGTTTCCACAGGCTACTGCTCTTTCATCTAACAGAGCCTATTTACTGTGTCAGCTACTGCTCTAAGCCAATAACCTTCTTCCACTTTATTGGTACACTCAAAATATTCAAACATCCACTAGACCAGTTTCCCAGCTCCTGGGGACAGATGCACCCAGTTTATTATTTATAATCAAGCAAGGAAAGCTGTTGTTGTTAGAGGGAAAAGAGCAAGAAACAGTAACTCAGCTTCCCAAGTCCAGAGCAGGGTGGCTGAAAGTAACCAGAAGCTGTAACACAGAGTTAAAAAATAGAAAATGACAGATCACATCTTTGTAAAGAGATTTTTCCTGTGTAGAAAAGGGGAAAAAAATATCCCTGTGAATGTTTTCGAGATCAGAGCTTGATGCAACTTTGATGCACATGCAGACCACAGTACTCAAAGCATCCATTGCACAGGGTCTTCTGCATTCCTTTGTCCAACAGATGCTCATTTCAGAATTAAAGCCAGCTTCTTTCATGTAAACATTGATGATCTCCCTTTTCCCCCCACAAATACAGACTGCAATTTAAAACCTTCATCAGCTCCACTTGTTTCTGCTGTAACAGAAACAGCAGTTTTGTTTCAAGACAAAACAGAACTAAACCAAATGCAGAATTACTTTTGTGCTTATGTTTCTTCACTAAAATAACCCAAAATTGGCTGAAATATGCTAAAGCCTTTCATAGGGCTATTACCTCACCCACTTCAAATAAAAAGATGAAAGTTATAACAAGACTTGGAAAAAGAAGAAAAAGCCTGCTTGTCCACAAAATACATAGGCAGAAATCATCAGCTGTAAATGAGAAAGAAATGGTTATAAGTTTTAAAAAAACTTGTTTAGAATCAGGTTTGAAAGTTGTTTCACAATCTCAAAAATAGCAGCTGTTCAACAACACTATTGATCACAGGCTGGTTAGGCCAAACATCCTGTGTTTTGTACACAGAGCTGGGCAAAGAAAACCTCTTTGATTAGATAATGGGCCACAAAAAATTTGCCTCCATCCTCTTTCAAAATCATAATCCCAGACCTGGATTCTGGATTCTAGCAAAAGCTAGAAGAAAAAAAATCTAACTCCCCAACGTTTTCCCTTTCTACCAGGTTCCCAACACCTGCATTGCTGCCTGCCTGACATTGCTGCATACCTGATCAATGGCATCTGGGTTTTCAGAAACATCAAAGATGACCGCTGTGGCTCCTCGCTGCACTGCTCGTTTGGCCTGCAATAAGAAAGACAGCATCCTCAGTCCCACCCCAAAAGATAACTTCTTGACTCAAAAATTACTCCCTCTCCTCATCTCCAGATAGGAAACTTAACATTTTGTGTTTCTGTGTAGTTAAAACAAATGACAGGACAATTACAAACAGGAGTTCCTGAACCAGCATGGAAGGTAGTTAAACTTCACTACAGCTTCTACAGTGTCTCTGCTCCTTCCTTCTCAAACTCCTCTTTCAACAACCTTTTAAGGGAATTCAAATGAGATTTAGACCCTCCTAAAACTTTAAGTAGAAGAATTTTTTTAAAATTATATTATTTTCCCTCCATTTTACCTGGAAGTGCCATTAAAAACCATATTTGCAAAGACCTGGGGTGGAGACAAGCTCACAAGTGTAGAAAATTAAGGTGGACTGGGTTCTTTATACTTTTTCAGTGTCATTCTCACAAACTAGGATATCACAATCTCAAAATGTGCCTCAGAGAATACTGCTTTTTCTGACCATCGGAGGTCAGAACTGTTGCATACATTTCTCATGCTGATCCGAGCTATGTAAGTGCACAGCTTTTCATCAAATACAGTCCAAACCTGGAGTTACCAACTGCACAGAGAAGGCATTAGAAGATATTAAAATCCTCTGAGATAGTGAAAACAAGGCTAACACAGGGGTTTTATCCTGCTTCTGCCACTGTGTCTCTGTATGTACTGTTCAAATGTTGCTCAATGGCTCCACAAAGCAGACATTCCCAGTAACTTTTCAAAATCCTATTAACTTCATGGACACAGAATATAAGAAATTATTTCTCCAAGCAATGACAGCTATCACCACCACAGTACTAAACAAGAAGGCACTGGCCCTCCACACAGACTACCAGAACTTGAACTTATATTGAGATGTAAGAGAAACCAATAAAATTAATAAATTATGAAACATTACTCAGCAGTTTCCTGGAAAAAATGTTGGCCAGTACAGAGAGTTGGTTTGAATACATAAAGGTCACTTGCTTTGCTCTATTCTCCTATTTTATTAAAAATCAAAAAGGCCCATCAGACAGCACATGAGGGAAACCAACTCCCAAATTAGAGCTTTTTCTCAGCCCACCAGGTATTTGTCCCCTTTGAAGTCGGCACACCTGGTTAATGACTAAGAACTGTTGGGGAGGAAGAGTTAAAAGGAATCTACCACCCATTCTCCTCTGCAGCAGCCCTGAGGTGAGGGCTCATCCAGGTTTCCCTAGGAGGCACCCCTTACAGACACGCACTGCTTACAGAACTGTTCAGGCTATTCAGAATGTTTTTTTCAGGATGATCAGTCAACAAGCAAGGCCCCTTGATCTCTGAAGAGATTTTTAAAGAGATTTTGCAGATCAGCGCCGATAAAAACTCCTTAATTGCACGAACACACTGAAAGAGCAGCAAGTTTCCACCTCCGGGTGTTAAAAGAGAGGAAAAGCACCGAGTAAAAACATTGTGATGTGGAGGTTAATGCAAATGGGGGCGACTCGTGTGGCCATCCTGCCAAGTGTGGCGCTCGTTTCACCGGGTCCAAGTGAGGCCCATTTCACTGTGGCCAAGTGCGGCGCTCGTTTCACTGGGGCCAAGCGAGTCACCCCCATTTGCCATTAACCTCCACACCACAATGTTTCTACTCGGTGCTTTTCCTCTCTTAACACCCGGAGGTGGAAACTCCCCTGTGAGGGTCATTTCACTGGGGCCAAGCGAGGCTCGTTTCACTGTGCCCTGCAAGGCTCGCTTCACTGGGGCCAAGCGAGGCTCGTTTCACTGTGCCCTGCAAGGCTCGCTTCACTGGGGCCAAGCGAGGTTCGTTCTACTGTGCCCTGCAAGGCTCGCTTCACTGGGGCCAAGCGAGGCTCGCAGCCCGAGCCCCGCGAGGCTCCGGCCGCCTTTCCCCCGCCCCACGCCGGCCCTGAGGGGCCAGCGGCCGCGCACAGCGCCCCCCTGCGGCCGCAGCGCCCCCGCGCCGGAAGCGCCGCCTGTCCCCGGCCATGGAGGGGAGAGGAAGGGGCCGGGGCAGCGGGGAAACGCGGGGATTTATTCCTTGCTGCGGTTTAAATCCTGATACCCAGGGAAAGGCGCTCCTGCCTGGAAGTTCGCTCCAACCAAACTTCCTCTGCCGGAGGCGCTGACCACTCCTGCACAAGGTGCTAGAGAGGCGCTCCCGCCGCGCCGAGCGCCCCAGGGCACGGCCCGCACCGGGAGCCGGGCGCCAGCCCTCTCCGGCGGGCTCGGGGGCCGCCCGACGGGCCAGGTTCCGCTGGCCGGAGATCAGAGCGCGGCTGCCTCCGCCTCCCCCGCCTCCAGCTCGGCCGTAAGAGCGGGCAGTGCTGAGGGGAGCCCGAGCGCCTCTGCTCGCTGGGCATTCCCCTCCTGCCCCCGGCTCCGGGGAAGAGCGCACCTGTGACCGGGGCAACCTGGAACACCTGCCGGTCCTTCGGCATCCCCGAAAATACCCGCAGGATCGTTCCAGTCAAAACGTCTTTGAAAATAGTCTGTCCACTCGTCAGTAATCAGGGCAGCTCAAAATAACACAGCGATGTTGAGTCCCACTTAAAATAATGCCAGTCTGTAATAGGCACGTGATTTTTTTTTTCTTTTTGGGCTAGCCAGCATTTAAGACTCCCTCGAATCATTTTTCTAAGCAAAGTGACCAAACCTGCATCAAAAATAAACACAAGCTAGATGAGGGGGGAAAATAAGCTCATACTTACACAAGTATTGTGTATTACATTCACAATACTTGTGGCAAACAATCAGACATTTCCACAATTCAATTCCCGTTAATTTGCCAGGCCTATTTCTTTCTGTGATTGTCTTCTATGGCTTAAAACAAATGACTGTCACTACGTATCAGTATTCTTCCCCTTTTGTAACGAGTAATAGATTTAAAAAAAAATGGTAATTGCACTTCTCATAATTCAAGTGATCACTTTGTTCACAGCGACAACCTCCCAGTCCATCTCTGTGTTCAGAGTCTAGAGTTTATGCTACTACAGAACAATGGACGTTACCAATAAAAAGCACATTAAATACTGTCTCAGATTAAAATCTGGCAGAATTTACTAGACCTTGTAATCTAAGTAAGATAAGAGGAAATGCACGTGACAGAAGCACAAGAAAAATACCTCTCCACATCTCCAGGCCTGAGGAATTTTAAGTTATTACCTCAAAGAACACCAGAAAGATTTTAAGAGCTCTGCACTACCTCCCTGTGGGCCAGGCAAATACAATAAGGAAGTAACAACTTCCTTGATGAGGCAAACTTTCATCCCAAGGGACCAGATAATTATTAAACAGGTGCATGTTCCTCGCGTTCATTCGAGTCAGGTAGGACAGCAACAACCAAAACTAAGTTCAGCTCCTTCCTTGAAGGACTGTGCAGGCTTGCACATATGAACATGGCAAGCATCTCCTCCCCTCTGCTTTACAGTATGGTTTCATTCCAATTATTGTTTCAGTTAGAACACAACAGTGGAGAAACCATCATAAGAAAAGCTGCTTAACAAGGTTCTCCTTTAAGAGAAAAATCACACCAACAGCATCAGCCTCTATTCATTACATTTACTTATTTGCCAGAGTTAGAATTCCCTGACAATATCCAGCAGTATTTGCACCTGAGGACATGACACTTTAATCTAATGGATTTCAGAGAGTGAATAAATTACAGAGGAGAGAAAGACCAAGGCTTAAACTATAGGTGGGGAGATCAAAGTTCATTAAGCACCGCAAGCTCTGCCATTTACATCAACATAGTAATGCATTACACATCTTGCATTAAGAGAGTACCTTTTGTTGAACATGGCTATTGGCAGAGCCAGATTACTACTTATAAATAAACTTTTTTAAGTTAACATCCTGGATAATACTGATGGACTGAAGGGAGAAAATGATGCTTCAAAAGTATTGGCTGCCTGTATAAGCCACAGATATATCCCGGTGATATAAAATTATGCTCTCACAAATTTTTTTACATTAAAAACTACCTATCTCTCTTCCTGGATTTGTACAATTGTTCACCCAACTCTAGGTATTATCTTCTTGGAACTTAGTACACTCTAGTTAACAAATATTTATTATAATTATGGTATGTGCTACATGAGGAGGTTGATTTATTCCCTGGGTTAAGAAACAATGGGCAATGGTTTAAGGAATAACCAGTACAAATGCCAGTAAACTCCTTTTAGCAAACTATTAGCAAACTTTTAGCAAACTATGGGATGTCAGCATTATTAGCTGGTCCTCCAAAATGAGGGCACAGTACACAGAAAACAGTCCTATGGATCCCAAAAGCAAAATGCTGCTAGAATTAAGGGTAACAGCACAGCTCCAACAGGTATAACAATGGCTTTTTCCTAATGCCGTTCCTTTTTTCAGTACATCTTGGTTTTTGGGGCAGAAAATATGGTATTACCCTAAATCAGTGCGGAGACTGTTGAACAGAGTAGTCAATAAAATTGATTTGTATGCCCTTAATAAAATTGATTTGTATGTCCTTATTTAACTGACAACTGACCCAGCCTGAATTTTCTCTGTCAGTTTTTGAGGTTTTTTTTCCCCCCCTAAGTTTCTCTATGAACTAATAATTATTGAACTTGAAGCATATTTTCTGGATATTCCAAGCCCATCAAATTCAAAGTCTATGTCAGATCTCTCTGCATGGTGGAGTCAATGGTCATTAATCTGATAAAAGAGTGGGATTATGCAAGCAGTGTTAAGTGGAACATTTTTCATAGCTGATTCTATCATCAGCTGTCTTCTGGTGCTTTGAAATAAGAGAAGTCAGCCTCTCACACAGTGTTCTGGTAACACACGAGCAACACTCTGTGACATGCAACTTGCAAACTCTGTGACTCCAAGGAACAAGATTTTCAATGAAAAGCTGCAGTGTCTTGTTTTACTGCCCTGGAAAAGCAGCTCAAGGATTTCAACGATCTTGGCTGCTAGGGAATACAGCTGAAGGAATGAGGTTTCCATCTGCAATATTT